GTTGGTATTTTTTTTTTTTTTTTGAGACAGAGCCTCAAGCTGCCCCCCCTGGGTAGAGTGCCATTGCACCAAAGCTCAGAGCAACCTCCAACTCGTAGGCTCACGTGAGTCTCCTGCCTCAGTCTCCCAATTAGCTGGGACCACAGGTGTCCGCAACAATGCCCGGCTACTATTTTTGGTTGCAGGTGTCATTGTGTCTGACAGGCCCAGGCCGGATTTGAACCCGCCACCTTAGGTGTATGTGGCTGGTGCCTTAGCCACTTGAGCCGCAGGCACTGAGCCACAATGTTGGTATTTTAATAGGGACGACGTTGAATTGGTAAATTACTCTAGGAAATGTAGACATTTTAACAATGTTGATTCTCCCCAGCCTTGAGCATTGGTATGTTCTTCCATTTGTTGATGTCCTCTATTTCTTTTCTTAGGGTTTCATAATTTTTGTTATAGAGGTCCTTCACCTGTTTTGTTAGATATATTCTAAATATTTCATTTCCTTTGGGGCTACTGTGAAAGGAATTGGGTCCTTAATTAACCTCTCATCTTGGCTATTGTTGGTGTATACAAAGGCAACTGACTTGTGGACACTGATTTTATATCCTGAGATGTTACTGTATTTTTTGATGACGTGTAAGAGTCTTGTGGTTGAGTCTTTGGGGTTCTCCAGGTATAAGATCCTATCATCAGCAAAAAGGGAGAGTTTAACCTCCTCTGCTCCCATTTGGATGCCCTTTATTTTCTTGTCTTGTCTAATTGTTATTGGCTAAAACTTCCAGCACAATGTTGAATGGTAATGGTGACAGAGGACAACCTTGTTTGGTTCCAGTTCTAAGAGGAAAAGCTTTTAGTTTTACTCCGTTTAGTAAAATACTAGCTATGAGTTTGTTATAGATAGCTTTGATCAGTTTAAGAAATGTACCACCTATGCCTATACTCCTCCGTGTTCTAATTAAAAAAGGATGCTGGATTTTATTGTATACTTTTTCTGCATCTATTCAGAGGATCATGTAGTCTTTGGTTTTACTTTTCCTGATATGGTGAATAACGTTTATGGACTTTATGGTTTATTAATATAAACCAAGGTTGGTTCATATTAAACCAGTCTTGCATTCCTGGGATGAAACCAACTTGATCCTGATATATGACTTTTTTGATGATAAACTGTAATCTACCACGTTTCCTTGAAAATAAGACACTATCTTATATTTATTTTCTATTAAGAAGACACTCGAGGGCTTATTTTCAGGGGATGTCTTATTTTTATTACATATAATACAAATATTATAATACAACAATCTACATTTATTCAAATACAGTTAAATTGTCTTGTTCTGGAACCTGACAGGGGCAGCCGACCTTGTTGGTGGGGCTGGAGCTAGTGATGCATGAACTCCTTTCCCCTAATCATTCCCAGGTGTGCAATAATAGGATGCCTGCGACTGCAATTACCACACACATACCCACACAAGTGCGAATGGCTCGGAGAAAGAACTGTGGCAGATAAAAGGTATTCCAATCTTCCTTACTGCTCTGCACCCGAAATGGGTGGCATGCCTAGGCAGCATATCTGCCTAGCCATGCCCATAACTAGGTCTTATTACTAGGTTAGGGCTTATATTTATGACAAATGCATATAAACCCTGCTAGGGTTTATTTTTTGGGTAGGTCTTATTTTTGGGGAAACATGGTATTAGCTAAGATTTTATTGAGAATTTTTGGATCTATATTCATTAGTGAAATTGGTCTGAAATTCTCCTTTTTAGTTGGGTCTTTTCCTGGTTTTGGTATCAGA